CTAACCCTTCCTCTATATGATAGCCTTTCAGATACTTGAACATAGCTATCATTCCCCCTCACCCTATCCCACCCCAACCAAATCATCTTTTTTCTTGTTAAATATGCCCTGTGTTTTCCACCTGTCCTCATATGTCATGAACTTCACCGTCTGGTTTCTCTTCCTTTGGCATTCTGTAGCTTGTCAATCTCCTCCTTAAACCCTGATGCCCAGAATTAAACATAATATTCCAGATGAGACCTGAGAAAAACAGTACAGTGAGATTATTACTTCCCTGTCCTAAAAGTCATTCCCTACCCTCTCCCTGCAGTCCAAGATTGCTTTAACATTTTAGCTATCATATCACAGTGCTGACTCTATGAACTTGTAGTCCACTAAAACCTCAGACCCTTTTCTGAACTACTGCTATCTATGCCTCCCCATCTTATATTTGTGGAATTTATTAATTTTTTTTGTATCCGAGACCAACACTTTACATTTATCCCAATTAAATTGTATCTTAGTAGAGATCCACCCCCCGATGCTCTAACTTTTCTAGATCTTAACTTTTCCTGCAGTGTGTTAGTTGTCCTTCCCAGGTTTTTCACCTATAGATTTGATAAGTATACTATCTCTGCTTTTATCAGTCATTGATTAATAGGTTAAACATCATAGAATCAAATGGAGACTTCCTGCCATGTTGACACTGAACTATTAACAACTACTCTTTGAGTCTGTTCTGAATCCATCTGTTCATATTATCTAATCCATATCTCTCCATTTTATCCACAAGAATAGTGTGGGATACTTCATCAAAAGCTTTAGTTCAATCTAGTTAAATCTGTATCCACAGCATTCCCCTCATCTGCTAGTCTTACCAGAAAAGGAAAGATTTGTTAGTCTGATACAATTTATTCCTGATGAAGCCATGCCAGTTCTTTGTAATCACTGCTTACCTTTCTAGATATTCCTCAACTATCTCATTAATGATTCTTTCAAGAATTTTCTCAGGAATCTAAGTGAAACTGACTTTTTCCAAGTTTGCAAACTCTCTTCCCTGTTTTGCAGATTGGGGCATTTCCCTTTCTCCAATCTCATGGTACCATTCTTGTTTTCTATAGTCTTTTCAGATGTCACTCACAGTTGTTCTGCTCTCACCTCTGCCCTTTCTTTCAGTAGCAGAGGATGTAATTCATCTTGGCCAGGTAACTTGAATTCATCAACAGCAATGAGGTGCTCTTTTACCATCTCCTTACTTATCTACAGCATCGGCTCCTAGTTATTTGTTTTTGTTCTGTCCATTTCAGGGTAAGGGTCTTTCCCCTTTGTAAAGGAAACAGAAACAAAAGAAGAAATGAGCAGCTCTGCCATTTCTCTATTGTGAGTCACCATCATTCCATCCACTTCAAGCAAAGGGTCTGGCCCTTCTTTGATCCTCCTTTTTCTCTCAGTGATACTTTGAACATCTCCTTTTATCCTTAGTTTTTCTTGCCAACTTCATTCAGATAATTCTGAACTGTAGCATTTCTTACACTGTTTTTGCAAGACTTTGTCAACCTTATTGATCTTCTGTCACTCTGGGTTTGCTTCTATCTTTATATTTCTTTTTGAAATCTAAGTTGGTTGATTAGTTCCTGGTACATTTACGTAAGTCTTCAGACTTTCCCATTTTGACTCCTTATTGGAACTGTTTCCCTTTCTGTCTTCAGAATTTCATTCCTGAGCATCTCACATCATTCCTGGGCTGACTTTCTTTGAAGCATAGGATACCAACTCTCTTTACTCTGGAAGTCCATGGTACCCTACCTGTGATTAAAAGAGTTTTCCTTTATTGGTTCCTCTGCCTTTTGAAAGATGACATTTTCACTAAGCCAAGACAGAAAGTCAGTAGCTATTCTGCTTTTTTTGGTGGGGGGGAGAAAGAGAAAGAGAGAGAGAGAGAGAGACAGAGAGAGAGAGAGAGAGACAGAGACAGAGAGAAAAGAAGAAGAAGAAGAAGAAAAAGAGGAGGAGGAGGAGAAAGGGGGAAGGGGAGGAGGACTGGAAGAGGGGAGGGGAGGGGAGAGGAGAGAAAGCTCCAGCAGATGTCTGGATATTGAAGTCCTTCATTACTAGTATATCATACCTCTGTGCCAGGCATGTGATCTGTTTCCACAGTCCTCATCTAAATATTTCTTCTTTCTGTACAGGTAGTTTTAGGCCAGGTATACCGCAATGGAAAAAAAAATCACTTCTATTTCTAACGCCTTTAACTGTCAATCCAAATACTCTTCATCATATTTCCCTCTTCAGGTTCTTGGATTTTCTCATATGAGTATACCATCTTATTATACAGTGTCATCCCACCTGTTTTGTTCTACCTCCTAAAAAAATTTACCTGTTTTGTTTCTTCAGAATAAGGCATTATCCCTCCAAATCCATGTTCCAGTCATGGCTCTCCCTCCAACAAGTTTTATTGATAGCTATGAGATCAAATTTGCCCTTGTTTGTGGACTGTTCCTGACCAAGGACTAGGAGAGGCCACTGGAGTTACTGCTTCAAATTCTTTTTTTTACTATTACTTCCTTCCTCTAAAATGCACATTTTAGTCATCAGCTTAGTCAGGCTTCATTCGTATAGGTCTGCAAATATATCCACTGCCCCTTGATACAAGCAGTCTCAGTGCTTAACTTAAACCTGTCCCCAGGATCCCCACTCTCACAAACTCCTTGTTCATTCACTCTCAACCTTCTCCCCAAATAATTACAATAAAAAAGGCCATACAGTATACCACATCTTAGCTCCACTACTTTATTGATTTCTTGACTATGGGAAAGTCCCTGAAACCAATATGGACCCTTGATTTCTGGAACTAGAATTATGTTTCCCAGGAAGTAGGAGGTAACTGCTTCAATTTGAGGAGCAAACTATCTCAAAATAACATTTTCCTATCATTAACATACTTTCGTCTGACATTATGCAACATATCCTCCATACCTACTCTCTTATTTGTACCCTTGATAATGAAGTTTCTGTCAAGAAATATCATTGGAACACTTACTCCACCTTGATTGAAGTTAATACCTCTATTAAGCACTTTGGTGTAAGTTAATTTTAGACCGTTAAGTGTCATTTGGTATATCTGAGCAGTAATTTGTTAAATAGTACTCCTGAGGATGGGGAATGCAATTCTGATGTCTTACTTTTAGCAGAAACCAACACAGAGGCCATTTAGAACTTAAGAGTCCAGATTTTGCACCTTTTCCCCACCCCTCTTTTCTGCTAATCTGTAGTTCATATTTGTGAGCATTTAGCCAGACTTTGTCTTGTTGCTTCAGGATTTGAAAATATCAATGATTTTATTAGTGTTAGACACCTATGCATATGATGGCAACCTTCTGTGCCTTAGTAAGCCATTTCATGAGTTGATGTGGTAAAAAAAAATTATATAGTAATCAGCTTTCTGATATTGAGCTTCTTCACACTTAACCAAGCCAGTATGTCATTGGAGCCTTTTGATCCCTTTTGATCTTGATAGGAGCTGCCAGAACTTGTCCTCTGCTGTTTTGATAATCAGGCACTCAGGGTCACCTAAATGCCAGAGGAAGACATCAGAATGGTTGGAGTTTGTCTTATAGGAGAAATTTTAAAATGGCTAAAAGTACTTCAGGTTCCTGTCCCAAAAATACTATGTGTTTCAAAACTATGTACAGTCTCTTTGTAAAACAGACTTTATTACTTGTAATTGTTAAAAGCAGGCTTGGAATAAAGAGGTGTCAAAGTAAAGCAGATTCTGTGACCAGAAAGAGTTAATGATAGGGCAGAATCTTACCAATTCAGGGAAAAATCAGAATTCTTTTAAAAACAGATTCTGGAACCATATATTTAGAGCCAAGACAGGACTTTAGTGATGTAGTCCTTCAACCTTATTTCACAGGAAAGGAAGCTAAGGCCCAGAGAAGTCCTAGTAAGGTCACATGGGTGACAGGTGGCAGGGCCAAGATTTTAACAGAGATCCTATGACAAAACCAGTGTTCTTTATACTAAACCAATCATACAAATTGGAGGAAATCATAGAATGGTCATATACCATTCTTCATGGGTGATTTTTAGGTTTTGCATATATTTTGTGGATTTTTAAAAAAATTTGGAATTAGAATCCTCAATCTAACTTAGGTTGTAAGTTCATATATGCTGACATGCTGACTCACATGAATTTCTGAGCTTTTTGATAATGATATTCCCTCCAGTGCCACAGGTCACAACCTATCCATGCCTCCCCATCCTGTGCAACTCTTGTCCATGATCTCCTGTAAGTTCTTCCAAAGAATCTACTGAGGGCCCTCTTTGCTCTTGATAGAAAGAGAATGCTAGTTTATGTAATAGGATGTTTTTGTTTTTTTAGTTTGTTTTTAATGCCATGTCCCCACAGAAACAGATATTCCTGAGTTTCAGACAGATTTTATAAAAGTTACTTAAGAAAGGATTTTAGAATGCATAATATATCTGTGGTCATTTCAATTATACAATTTAATTATGGTTCTACTAAAAAAAGTTTAAAATTAAATTATAAAACTAAATTAGTTTTCATTAGAAATGTATTTGTTTCTTAGTGATAGATTTTTAGTTTATTTTCTAAAATTGCAAAAATACTTAGAAATAGACTTTAGTAAACAGTAATCACAGGAGAAAAATGTTGGAAAAAACATTTACTGTACAGAATTTTCAAGGTATTTTGATAAATGAAAAACTCAAATTAGACAGCATGGTTATAGACTCTCCATTCCCAGCAAGTTGTGTTTGTTCTTCATTTTGTGTGTGTACGTGTGTGTGTGTGTGTGTGTGTGTGTGTGTGTGTGATGTGTGTGTGTGTTTGTTGGTCAAGAGGGGAGAAAGATGAGGATAGGGTATAGACTAGAGATTTCATTGATGAGGGAACTCCTTTTACTATGCAGTTCAGCAACTTTTCTACAACTTAGTCCTAGAGAGTTACAACTTGTTAAATATATTCAAGAATAAGAAAAACTCAATCATTTTTCTAGGGCTGTACTATAGGAAGTGCAAGCTGATTTCCAAGGTGGATGTTACCCATGATACCAAACTTTACTGCTTAATGATGCCACCAGGTACTCATCTTCAGGTGCCCATTGGGCAACATGTTTACCTCAAACAAACTATTGCAGGTAAGTTGCATGGAGGCATAAAGGAATAATTTTAAAATAATTTCATGTTGTAAAACTACACATTCAGAGTTTAACTTTATGAAATGATAAAATTAGTTTTTTCAGTATTTTTTATTCTGTGATTTATTGTAAGACAATAGCACATTTTCCTGGGTGGCTAAGCTTAGATTGTGATTGCCAGATGCTAAATATCAGAAGTAGGTGAAGGCTTTGCTAAATATATGCTTCAGCATCCTTTCGTACACATATGTTAGAAATGTTTTAGCTTTAATAATAGAATTAAAGAAATTGCCACCTCGTGTTTAGACATGATCAGTCAGTAAACATTTGTTATGTGCCTCCTGTGTGCCAGGCACTAGGCTAAGTGCTGGGGACATGAAGAAATACCAAAGACAGTCCCTGCCCTTAGGGATCCTCGTGATCCCCAGCCTTCTATGATATTAGTATTAAAAGTGACATATATTCCTACTTCTCTTAAATAGCCATTTATAGTTTTGTTATTTACAAATTTCTAAAAAACCCTTCCCAGGTTGCTTATGTTTCCTGCCAGCACTGTTGCTTAGTCCTAAGAGGTTTGGTTTTTTTTTTTGCCAGTTGTGTGAAATGAGTGCTCCTTTTTGTCCTTAACTTAGATGATTGCTCTTTGAAAAGGTGTGCCTTTGGGGCTTTGGAGAATGTCTACATTACCTTACCTATGTTAATAACTCTTATAGATTTTCTTTGTGACCCATCTCTGAGTTTGTCTTTCAAGGTGGAAGAGGCCTAATTTTGATTAAGCCACCATTAGTAATCGGCTCCTTCATCCATCTAGCCACTTTAGTTGTTTGTCTCTGGGTCTTCACTTTATAAATTTTAGCTGCTTTTCCATCTCTAAAACTGGGATAATATGTACTTTCTCTACTTACCTTACATAGCATTTATGAGCAAAGTGTTTAAAGCACTGTATCAATGTGAGTTGTTATGTTTGGCATTACATTATGTTGGCCTTTGGGCAACTGTGTTAGACTACATGTCCAAAGCAGTGTTTTCCTAATTGTAAACTCCATGTGGGCAGGGACCTTGTCTTATGGAATTCAACACACTTGTTAACTACCTACTATGTGCAGAGCACTGGGCTAGGAAAAGATTATGTTTATGTAAGATTTTGTCCTTGTTCTTGTATCTCCACTATGGCCTAGCATAGTATCCTGTATATAGAAGGGACTTGTTAAGTGTGGCTACGCTGAATTGTCTATAATCAAAACTGGAGAGGTAATACCATGCTTTGCCCAGTAGTATTTTTTACCTTTTCTCTTAACAGTTACTAATCTTGAGAATGCTGCTGAAAAGCCATCTCATATCTGTAGTATACTTTAACTTATAGGCATTTTGATGAACCAGAAAAAATAAAGAGAAACCCTAAGAAGAATTTTGACAACTCATACTATGTATATGCTAACTTTTGTTCTTTAGACTCTGATTAAGCCGAATATTTATAAAATTATATGTTTATTTTTCCGTTATGTTGTTCTTATGGATAACTTGGTTAAGATTACTTTGTAATTTTCATTGCTACAGCTGGATCATGAAAACTTGATTCTATTGTGCATGGTTTGGTTATGTAATAATTTTGGTATTGGCTGTTGCCCATGGGCAAATTTTGACATCTCTATACTAGTATACTACTCCATTAGGAAAGAAATTGGCCTAACTTATTAACATAAATTTATTGTTATTATTCAGTTATGCCACCTGTGCCAAAAATTATATTTATAATAAATAATTTGTAACAGTGATCCATTTAAAAGCAATAATAATAAACATGTCAACATGGTTATATTGGGCATTTAAATATCCTGTATAATTGTGCCAGTGTATTTTTTACATTTGTATGTCTTTGGTTTTGGCTTCTTCCAGGTGCAGAAATAGTGAAGCCGTATACACCTGTATTAGAATCCTTACACTCAGATTTAAGGGAACCACTTCATCCTCATAACAAATATATCTATGTAATTATCAAAATCTATCACACTGGACTCTTCACACCACATTTTGATTGTCTTCAAATAGGTAAGTATTTGTGTGTTATTTTCTTACTGCTTTTTTGTGTTTTAGATTAGTTTATTCTCCAAGGAGTTATAGAGGGGTTTGTATCTCTTAGCTTTGAGTCTTATTCTGCCCTGTCCCTCTTCTCCCAACTCTTATTCTCTTATCTTTCTGTAAGATTTTTTCTTTATGATTATTATGACTATTGTTTTGTCTAAGTACGCATCTATAACTTCAGTATTGACCCTGCTGTGGAAGAGGGTAGAAATATTTCATTCATTTTGCTCAGTCTAAGCAATTTTAAATCATATGACTTGCTATTTCCAAGGAACTCGTTCTGGAGGCCACTGTCTTACTGAAGTAATACTTTATGATTTACAGAAAGGACATTCTGAACTCAGCCATCCAGGCTTCCTAGATTGCAGAGTGATCCCTCCAGATTGTAGGTTCATAGATGATTAAGTTTTGTTTTCAGTTTTTGAGTTTGGCTATAGGAAAAATGGAGGGAAATTTAATGTTAACTAGTCAGATTTGTCTCACTAGTACTCTTAAAGTGTTTGCTAGGGGAAAGATTGAAATCATTGGATTGATTAGCCTGAGATTTTATAATGATATTTCTGTATGAGTCCTATGAATCAGCAAGCTTCTAGTGAGCATCTAATAATGTACCTTGCACTTGGCCCTCAGCACAGTAGATTATAACTTGGATAAGGTCTGGGCCCTGCTACTGAGAAGCTTATGATTATATTGGACTGCCAGTCAGTCCTGCACTATTGCAAGTTATCTGTTGCCAGTTTTCCACAGTTGTAAAACATGAATAATATAGAAGAGGGTATATAGTAAAATTACATTATTGTGCAGCTCTTCATTCTATATGTCAGAAATATTGACAGTCAAATCATCTCCTTGGCAGCATAACTGTATTATACAAATTTTAATAGGACATGCAATCAAGAATCCTGTCACCAGCATCATGTTATAAGAGACCTCTACTGTCTTTGATTTTCTAGGATTTCACTTCTTTTTTCTGAATTTATTTTATTGTATAGGGGATTATGTTTCTTTGAGTAATCCTGAGGGCAACTTTAAAAAATCTCAGCTCCAAGATTTAGAAGAACTGTTCTTATTGGCAGCTGGAACAGGCTTCACACCAATGGTTAAAATATTGAATTATGCTTTGGCTAATATAACCAATCTCAGGTATGTAAACTTTATTTGTAGATTTTTTAAAAAATACAATGTTGACAATTTGAATTAATATGTTTTCTGAAGCTCAGTTAGAGCAGTACAGCATATATTACTTCTCTCTGATTTTAATATTGCAGTAAAACTTCTGAAACATATTTTTTATTATCCTGCCAATCATTCCTCATTCTTCCTCTGGCCCGAGGTTGATTATTAAGGGGATTGGTTCCTTCATTTCACTTTACTTTGTTCCCTGTAGCCACCTTGTAGTATAACAGATTTTCACTTCACTTTCCCTTTATTGTACATTTTTATACATAATTTAAAAATTCAGTTGAAAGAGTTCATGCTGTTGTACAATGTAGCATTTGCTTTTAGGAAAGTGAAGCTGATGTTTTTCAACAAGACGGAAGAAGATATCCTTTGGAGGAACCAGTTGGAGCAGTTAGCAGACAAGGAGAGAAGGTAATAAGATAGTGGCCATACGTTGCCTGAAAAAATAGGTAGTGGATTCTGAACCCAGCTATATTAAATAGGAACTCTGAGTCTGAAATGGACATTAAAAAAAGCTATAAGCTAATATATTTGCTAGAAAGAAGACAATCTGCTGAATTTATCAAGGTGATATTGACTCATTGTTATTAAAGTAGCGATTCTTTGGGCTTATATTATCTCCTTTGACTTACTTTTCAGCATTAAGAATATTGAATGTTAAATTTGCTGCATTTGTTAAAAATTATAAATAATGAGAAAAATTATCATCATGTGTTACTTATTTTTATCATATTGTAGATTTTGTATAGACCATTTTATGGTTGTATATACTTTCTTTTGTTTGTTTGTTTTTGCTAGCAGTGGGGTTAAGTGACTTGCCCACGGTCACACAGCTAGTAAGTGTCAAATGTCTGAGGCCAGATTTGAACTCCCTTAGTTCCCTGTCAGGTTCTCCTGACTCCAAGGCCATTGCTCTGTCCACTGTGCCACCTAGCTGCCACCGTTGTATATACCTTCATAAAAGAATAGAACAAGACTTCTGAGAAAGTCTATGAGGGATATGGGTAGGCCGATTTATTCTCTTCATTTTATTTTTTTCCCCAGAGGGAAAGTGTATTGGGAAAAGTTAACTTGCAATAGATATTGAAGGGAGATGGTTGGTTTGTTAGATGGGAAGTGGGATGGTATTCCCGATCAAATCGATAGTTTAAAAGAAGTCTAGACTCAGGAATAGAATCAGATGGCAAAATCTGGAATTTTATTTTTGAGAGTTACCAAAATGCCCTTACTTTTTGACCCATTGATATCAGTAGCATGTTCTAGTAAGGAAGGTTTATACACACACACACACGCACACACACACACATATATAAAATGGCAGTTTCCAAAGTAGATGTTCATTGATTGAGGAATGGCTAAATAAATTGTGACACATGGATGTGATGGAATGTTTCTATGCAAAGTAAATTGGATTAGGAAAGCAATATATACAAAATATAAAAATGTGAATGAAAAAACAATGGATAAAACCGACCACTATCTAATTATAATGACCAAGCTTTACCTCAAAGAAGAAATGAGAAAATCTTCCTCTCTTCCTTGCAGAAGTAGAGGACTGTGAGTATGAAACATCATACATACTGTCAGACTCAATTAGATTGGCCCAAAATAATTGGCTTGTCCCTAAAGGCAGTTGAATTGGATAAAAAAGTAGAGAACCAGCAAATTTTTTAATAGCGTTTCATTAATATCTTTTGTTTTTATTTCACTTTCATTTCTGGATGCTTCCTTTACCTAGTGAACAACCCCTTGTAGTACAGTTGGGAAAAAACACCCAACCAACACATCAGCCGTGGCCAGTAGTAGAGCAGGATGCTCTAACCATAGTTGTACACCTCTGCAAAAGAAGGAAGGGTATATATTTTCTTACTTCTTCTCTAAGGCCAAACTTGGTCCTTATAAATACAAAGCATTCAATTTTGTTTTTTTGCCCATGACATATACATTATTTTGTACATGAAGTGTATTGTGTTTCTGGTTCTGCTTACTTCATTCTGCATCAGTTCATATAAGTCTTTCCAAGTTTCTCTGAATTCTTCACATTCACCTTTTCTTTTAGCATAGTAATATTCTATTACATTCATATTTCAATTTGGCCATTTCCCATTCATTAGGAATACTTTGGTGAACATCAGACCTTTCTGTCTGTGACCTCTTTGAGGGATACTGTAAGCATTGGGATCCTTGGATCAAAGAGTATGGGCATTTTAAAAAGCTTTTAAAAATTATGTTTTTTAAAAAGCATAATTCTGAATTAGTTTCTAGTTCTGTTACCAGTGTGTATTTGTCTTTATAGCCCTTCTGATTAATTCTGTAAAATAATTTCTGCTAACTTGCTTTTTATTAGGTATCACACTAAATAACAGTGCATTGCATTTGGTGGGTGTTCTTTATTAATGTGTTGTGTCTTTTGATCTTAAGCTCCAGGACTTAGAGTAGTTAAGGGGCCAAAAGCCTAAAAAATGTCCATTCTCCTTTAATCTTATTTGCTTTTAATTGCCTTCATTTGCTAGTTGTAGTCAGTACAAGCTATCCAGTCTTTCTCTATTTCTTTACATGAAGAGAAAAGTCTGTTTTATATGCTTGCCCTACATCATATGGCTTGTCTGGCTCAAGCCAGAAGAAAAAGAAATTAGACCATCTTGTGTTTATATACTCCTTAATGTGCCTACTGTGGTTTTCCTTCAGCTAACCCACTTTTCCCTTAGTTCCCTGTACTTGGAAGACTAGAGCTGATGTTACTGATTGATTACTTACATCTGCATACTTTTGGTCTCTTGCCTAACCTCTAAAAGCCTTTAGCTTACTTTCAAACTCATTTTCCCCCAGAATGTACATTTTCAAACACATTTAAGCAGAACACAACTAGATTTGTATAGTAGTAATTCTTTCTATAAAAACAGTCTTTTCTTGATTTTTCATTATAAATTCAAATTCAGCTAACTTTTATAAAGCACCTGCTCTGTGCAGAATAGTGTGCTTGGCATTGGGGGAAAGATAGTATTTAAATAAGATGGAGGGCTCCTCATTGAGCTCATAATCTAGTTGGAGAATAAGACACAAATAAATGCAAATTACAATAATAAAACAGTATTACATGGTTAGTACATTAAAGAGGTAGAAGACAAAATGCTATATGAATACCAAAGGGGAAGATTGTTAAGGATATGAGGGAAGAGGAGAAGAAAGGTGAGGACTAAGGAAGACTTTATGGAGGAGGTACCACTTAAGTTCAACTTTAAAGGATGAGTAAAGTCATTAGCAGATGGAGAGGGAAGAGGAAGCTTATTCTAAGCATGGATAACTAGAGGTGGGCAATGTACTGAATGTCTTTAGAAGATAGAGTAAGGTCAGTTTGGCTAGGGAAGAGTTCTTAGAGAAAGAATAACATGTAATAAGGCTATAAAGGTAGGGTGCTATCAGATTGTGAAAGAGTTTGATCATTACTCTGTGTAATAGAGACTCAAGGAAGATTTGTTTTAACATGAGGGACTGCATCTTAGAATTGGAAGGGAATTGAGGCATTCTTGTCCAAGCTATGTCTTGACAAGAATGCCTTTTACAACATTCAACCTTTGCTTGAAGTGCTCAAAAGAAAGGAAATCCAGTTTCTCCCAAGGCAGCCTATTAGACTTTGGGATAACTGTAATTGTTAGGAAGCATGGAACTGCCTCTGTAATTTTCACTAGCTGCTTTTGGTTCTGCTTTCTGAGGCTAAGTTAAAACAGAACAACAAAACAAGTCTAATCTCTCTTCTATATAATATTACAGATACTTTAAGACAGCTATTATCTCCCCCTCCCCCTACAGTCATCCCTTTTTTCAGCTAAAATCACCAGTTTCATTGACATTTTTTTTCAAAAAGTATGATTTTGAAGCCCCTCACTATTTTTACTATTCAGTTTCTCAGTGTCCTTGCTACGATAGGGCCTCTAGAACTGAACATGTGTTCCATATGTGGACTGACCAGAGCAGGGGACAGGCATGCTACTTCTCTTTCTTTTTAGGTATGAGGCCTGCCTCATTTCAGACTGAGATTGCATTGGCTGTTATGGTGACCATAGCACACAGTTTATTTATTGAGCTTGCAGGCTACTAAAACTCCCAAGGTCTTTTTTGTTTGTTTGTTTTTCATATGTAGGTATGAGGTTGTAAGGTTGGGTTTTTTTTGCGTGCTTTTTCCCCCATAGGATAGTAGACTATTAGATCACTGAGGTACCTTAGAAATCACCTAGTCCACCTCCTCTCATTTGCCAGTTTACAGATCCAGTGAAGTGAGACTTGATTGAGTCTCTTTATTGTATATATAATCATATCCTCTTAGTATATGAATTACATATAAAAGCACCAGGTCAGTTAAAAAGATTTCCCTGAGTTTTTTGTTAGAATACTCTTTGATTTTACGTGTTTTCTCCATGTTTTGTAGGATAAAGTATGTCAAATGTTATTTGTAAAGTCCCAAAGGTCTGTGTTGTGCTAATAGTAGACCTTTTCCACTGTCCCCAGAAGGAAGAAGTATTATAAATCATTGAAAGAGGTAGATTCCAGTTTGATAAAAGGCAGAACTTCTTCACAGTTAATTCTGTCCAAAAGTAGAATGGTAGGCTTCACTGTTTAGGTGATGCTTTGATGACTGTTTGTCAGAGCTCTCTGAGCTCTTGTAGGGGATATCCCTGAATAAGCATGGGTTGGACTGGATAGGTAATCTCTGGATTCCTTTCCAACCCTGAGATTATCTGATTTTTTCAATTATGTGCATGTAAAATAGAGTATAATTGTCACTTTCTAGAAGATACCTCTAAGACAATCAGTAGTCATTAAACATTTATTAAGCAACTGCTGTGTGCCAGATACTTGCTGAGAGCTGGGGATGCATAGAAAGGCAAAAGCCAAGTTTCTGCTCTCAAGGAGCTCACAGTCTAATGGGAGAGATAACAGCAAGCAATTATGTACAAATAAGGTATAAGGATGAATTGGAGCTAATCAACAGAGGAAAGGCACTGCTGGCAAGATTGTGGGTGTTATACTTTATCCTGACAAAGCTTGTTTATAATTTGTATTAATGGCTGCAATGTAGATGAAAGAGCATGAGACCTGCAGTCAGAGTGAGTTCTATTGCTAGCTCTGCCACTCACTAGCATGTGGCCTGAGAAAAATCACGTCACTCCTCTGGACATCACTTTGCTAGTATTATCCTTGTTATACCTACCTCACTAGTGAACTCTCAGGTGCTGAGTGAGTGTAAAGGGTTATCTAGAAAATTAAGGGACTGGACTAGATATTTTCTAAGGTCCTTTTCTTCCCTAAAATTCTCTGATTATATAATCTCTTCTACTTTAATTTTGTGCATGTTATTATTATAATAATTTATATTATTATCTAATTATACAATGTAATTATATGTTATATCA